TCCTGCTGTTTAATGTTTCAGCCAGGGTCACACATTTCTTGACCATTTCAACTATTGTAGGATTTTTGGGCTAAGTTTTTTGACTCTTGTTATCAACAGTGACATGAATCCTTTTTTCTTAAACTTAACACAAAAACCTGTTTTTTAGCGTTTGTGCAAGTGGTGGTGCTCTGGTTAGTAACTGGTGGCCATTGTTCTCACACACTGGAATGTTTTTGATGTGGCAGGTACAACTTTTTGGTGGAACCTGCCACTTCACAACTCAGTGTCCTGGAGTGATGACTTATTCAGAAGATTTGGGATGGGGAGGGTTGCAGTCTCCAGTGGCTCTGCCTGTCACACACTTTATTATTTTATGAAGCAACGATTATGGACCATGGCATCTAGTTATTGGTCTAGTAATACTTGCAGCATGAAATATATTGATACCTAAAGATGAATTAAATATTTCATTTTCTCTATGGAATTCTGTTATCTATACCAAAAGTTAATATAGAGATATATATATTATAATGCTTACCTTTTCTAGCATTTTAAAATACGTATTTACCTGGACAGCATAGGTTAGAAATTCTTAATTCTATCCCTGGCTTTATTACTAGATTTGTTGCTTTTATGTTTTATCAATGTTGGCTGTTATATTACTGTATTGATTTTTTTTCCAAATTATACAGAACTTTGTAGTGGTAAGCTGCCCTAGAAAGGCCTTCTGGACTTAAAGACAGTCAAGAAATATCTTAAAATACTAAACAATACTAGAGTATTTCACATTCTCCCTCTTTCAAGTCACTCTGATTATTGTACCTGCAGTTCTAGTTACTGTGTTTTTGTTAAGAGTGTAGGGGGATTACTAGCTCATGGACCTTTGTACAGTTGAAAAATAGTAATAGCTTCTGGTTAGAGCAGAAGGTGCACTCTACCTTGGCTAAATTAGAAAGGATGAGTTTGCCTGATATAATAAAACATGATGGCTTACTTGTTCACTCACTAATCTGTGTTATTCCTGATAGATGATTGACCACTCACTGCAGCTTATTATGGCTTCCCCCACTTAGTACTCCCAGCTGCACCCTGCACAGATCCCAGGTTTTTTTTTTTTTTAATCCCTTCTGTTATTATCCCTACGGAGTGAAACTTTTCTGCTTCCTGCCCCACTTGCTACTGATTTGCTGTCCTGATTTTCTTTTTGTAAGCTGCTTAAAAATTATTTTAGTCCTTGGGAAATATGCTAATAGATCTGATTTTTTCCTATTCACAAGTGTTCACATTTGCCTGTTGGCTATTTACTTTTTTTTACTTTAATAGCAGTACATATCCCTTCTGTATGTATTGAAATTCCACCTGTCAATGTCATCCTCTCGGTGGCTATGCTCACACATAACACTAATGAATACCATGAAATTACCTTTCCTTCTTGAGGTCCTGTGTTTACATATTCGTGAGGTAAATACTCATGAGTAATCTCTGCTTCCATCTACCCTCCCAATGGAGGCATGCAGTCCATCAGCCCGTGTGGTTAGGAAGCAATCCCAGCATGCACTGCTCTGTCCTGCATCACCTGTCTCTCTCCCATTGGCCTGCATGTCCCCCTGGGTGTGTTTTCAGCCAGTCACTGCTTCTTTTTTTCCCCTATTGCTTTGTGGATCCTGCCTACACATTAGACTGAGACTGAGACAGTGCCTCTGCTGAAGCAGCAGAGCAGCACCCTCCACTGCGGCTGCGCTTTCTGCCCATGCATAAGCACCCACCCAAGTATCTCCCCCCATTTGCAGCACATGTGCCTGACACACCCTGACAGCCCAGCATACTGGGGGCTGCAGCAAGGGCTCTGTTGCCAGGGATGGAGGGAGCACACCATGCTGGGCACACTCACTGGGATGCTTTCCCTGGTAGTGAAGCCATGTGCACTGCTTCAGCACAGGGCAGTGACCAGGCAGGAGCACCATGCATGTCTGCAACCATGTTTGCTGCTGCTGGAGGGGCTCCCTGTTATTCCTCCTGGTGCATATTCCCTGATGCTTGTCTGCCCTCCTACCTCCATGCCTGTGTCTCTGCCCCCTTGCTGCTTCATCACAAGGTTTGACCATGCAAGAGAGAGATGCTCATCTTGTGAGGTATGTGCAAAGTTGGCATGCTAGTCAGCAGTGAAGAGGTGAGGGAGTGGGCAGGCAAGGTGGCAAGCATGGTGGCAGTGGTGGAGTGGCTGAGCTTTGGAGAATATACCCTGGAAGTGATGACAGGGAGCACAGGGCAACCAGTCTGCACCCTGTCCTCTGCTCTTGCTGCCAAACGTGCCGGCAGAAACAAATTAGTGGAAAAACACTGTAAGTGGCTTCACTCATAACAGCAAGCAATGCTGAAACAAGAAAACCTTAGAACAAACAATTGGTTCTCTATGGTGATTCACGGTAACCAAGTTTCACCATGTTTCCGGGATTCATACATAATGACAAGCCATTCCTGCTATGGCTTGCCATTATGTGTGAATACAGTCATTGTGTTAAGTCTCGAGCTAATGTTGTTCAACTTCTTTCCCCACTTCAGTGCTTCTCTTACCAAACTTTGAAAGTAGACAGGTGCACTATGGGAGTTTGGGTATACTTACTGCACAAATCCTGTTTTTTAAACCTTATTTTCTGTCATTCACAGTTCAGAAGTAAAATACAGAAACCCATTTCTGATGTTTGGTACACCCATAGTCCTGCAGCGAGTACACTTGCCCAGCTCAGTAACTCCATTTCATTCAGCTGCCATTTCTGGAGTTCACGTTTAAGGGAAGCATTGTAGTGTTCCTTCTACAGATGTCAGATGTGAGTTTCATCTCACAGTATTATGAGTGAGATTTCAATGCATTCATGCAGGATTTGACCTGTGCCATTGATAAGAGAAGAACTAAGTAGTGGACAGGAAAATACCCAGAGTTATGAAGAGAAAAATAATCATAAAAAGCAAACCCACTTGTGTACCTCGAAAGCACAGAAAAATAGCTTTTTGGAAAGGTTGTGTGCAAGTTAAAAACATTCCCTGGTGTATTGGTAGAGGGAGGCATCAATAATGACCTGGTGAGGAACACCATGATTTTTGCTGCTCTTTGCAGGTGGCTCTGTAGTCACGTCAGACAAGCCAATTACAAGTAATTGTGCTGGGTTCACATGTCATGGTAAGCCACTTGGAATAACCCAGCAACAAACCATTGATTTTAAGGGTGGCTTGTGCATGGTTCAGTCATAGTGTCAAGCCACTCTGGAACAAACAAGAGAGATAACCCACTGTGACTTATCACATTGTATGAACCAGGTCAGTACAAATTAAGTGACAAGCCTTCTACTGTCTTTCTTTTAAGCAATATTTCAGTTAGCCACTAATCATTAACCTTCCTGTTAAAATGTACACTAGCAAGCTGCTTCAGCCTGGTGTCCACTGGATGTTTTCAGTTTCAGTTCCCATCAGTCCTAGCCAGTCTGGTCAGTGGCAAGGAAAGTTCCTAGAGAACACCAGTTTGTAGAAGGCTGGGGTACAGCATTTTAATTGTGTAAAAGTAATTTAACTTTTCCCCATAGATGTAAAGGAAAGAATGTGCATTGGCAGCTGTATGTCTCTTAAAAGCAGTGCTGAATAAAGTTGTCTTCCTTACTCTGCTCTTTAATTCAACCACTTTTAAAATTCCATGTTATTTAATGAGTAATTTTTCTCAGATACATTCACAGTTGTGTGATACAGTGTACGTTGTTTATTATTGGAGGTATTGTAGACTATTCTAAGGAGAATGGAAAATAGAAGAATTATGAAGATGCCAGTGTGGCTGTTTAAAGATTTTTCTGATATGTGTCACAGATGGAAGAAAGGAGATATGTAACTTAAGTTGTATAGTAGAGTAACCTGAACTGTAAAGACGGCTTCAGGAAAGCTGTGGTTTGCAAGGGATGCTAAAGACCACAAAAAAAAAAAAAAAAAGGTTTTTTATTATTGTTTTGGGTCAAGAAGAACAAAGAAAAAGGACAGATGCATCAAGGAATCCACACATTAGTTGAGATGGCAAAGTATTAATAGGTGACAGATGAAGTAGAACAACTCAAATTCTTTTTTTGCCTCGCTTTTCTCTCATAAGGATAATGGTAGTCAACCTAGGAAAAGTAGATTGGTTTAATAAAATGAAATAAGGAAGTACTTGAAAACCAGAATAGGTAAGCAGTTGATTGGCATATTTTAAATAATTCAGCTCTCTATGGGCAGATGAATTATATCCCACAGCTTGCAGATGTTGTTTTAGAGCTGCTGTTATTTTGAAGAATGGGTGAGATGCCAAAAGACAAATGTTATCCCTGTTTCAAACAGGAAGAAGGTAGAAGGTAGAAGGAAACTATTAGTCTAACACTAATGCTGGGTAAAGTTGCCAAATTATCAGAAGCTGCATGTGTCTCATACTAGATACTAGGAAATTGATGTACCAACTAAAATCAGCTAAAAAGCAAAGTTCAAAATATCTTAATTGCCAGAAGATAACATTATTTTATTGTATATACAAACCAGGGACATATGCAGCAAAATTTGTGAAAGCCTTTCTTTAGATTATGGGAAAGAGACAAAATATAATTTTTCATTTGATTCTGAAGACCCGTGAAGAAAAACTCTAAACATTCAATAGATTCTGTCACTATTTTTGTCTGTAAAAGTTAAGGGGAGGAAATGTACTATGCTCAATTTAAATTCAGTATGTTTTTTCTTTTACTTTTGCCTTTGTGTTTAGAAAATTAATATTTTTTAAGCAAAAACTCCAATGCTATCTTGACTGGCTAGAACACAGGACCAAATCTAGCAAGATGAGATTCTGTAGAGATCAATGTAAAATTCTGCTCCCCCCCCCCCCCCCCAAAAAAATCAAAGACATGAATGCAGGAGACCTGATTAAGCAGCAGTATTTGTAAAGAGGATCTAGGTTTCTCAGTCAATCCCATCTTGAATTTGAGCTGGCGGTCTGATTGCAGCTGCTAAAGATGCAAGTACATGCTTAATTTGAATTAACAGAAACTTACTGTCTAGATCACAAGATGTAATAAAACTGCCCAGAGAGCTGTGTGTGTGTTTGGCTAAAGGCCGGTATAGAAAATAGTTTCACTCTGTCCTGCTCCATTCAGGCCGCATCTGGAGTACTGTGTACAGTTCTATAAAGCAGAGTCAGTTCCTGTGAATCAGCTTTGGGCTTTCCCATTTTTCATTGAGAAATCCATGGCATGTTGCTATATGTCAAGCAAATGGAACACATGTGCTTTTTAAAAATCAGGTCTATTTAAAATAAACTTAAATCTTATCCATAGATTTGAGTGACAATATTGAAGTAGTAGTTGCACTATACATTAGGTGTACAACTTAGGAAATGTGGCACTAGAAATAATTGGACACCTGTGGAAAACATAAAAGCAGTCCACCTTAGAGCAAAATCGTTAATAAAACAGAAGCTAACATTGCACTGATATTCTGGAGCAAAACAGCCATTTACGTAAATGGAGCCTTGGACTTTTCAACTTGTTTGCTGGGGCATAGCGGTTGTTGTCCTCTTTACCTTTACAGACTTCTGTAATGTGACATTTTGCCCGTCCATGAACTTCTACTGAAATGACTGAGATGACACGGTCATAGAAAGGTTAGCACAGTTTAATGAAAATGGTACTAGGTAGTAGGTCCTAAATATGGGTATGTGACCTCAAAACAAACTTTAAAAAAAAAAAAAAGATTGGACCCTTAGCTGTCTGACAGTTTGGGTAGGTTTTCATTGCAACTGTCTATGTATAGCACTGAACTCAATTCCTTCAATAGAAATGAGAGAAAAGATGAAGAAACATTTTAAAAACGACTTAAAGTTACTTTTAGATAAAAAGACTTTACCATCAGACATTAATATGAAAGAGAGCAAAAGAGTGATTTTAAAACTGTATATATGTTCTATGGTCATCTGCTTCAGTTGTAGTAAATGAATGTATATAAAAATGAAAATGGAAAAGCTAATTTTAAGTTTTCAGTTGTGTAAAGTGAATGCTGGAGGCTAAACTATTTAATATTATCCCCTACTGTTTTCCTGAGGAGATTAGACAGTGTGCTTGTGACCACAGATCTTCCCAAGTCATGTCAATTGCTCAAGTCTACCATGGTAGTCTTACAATATAGAGTGTTCCTGTGTTAAAAGCAACTAGTTGGCACCCTGAATATATGAGTTGACATATGATGAAGATTTTGGCTTGATTTATATTATTTCTGATCTTCAGATAATGTCTGTGCTTTCTATTTAATATTAGTTTCATTTAAGCAATTCATTTGAAATGGTTTCTAGGAATTGACTTCAGTTGAGCAGTTAGAACATAAGAACATTAAGAACGTAAGAGAAGCCATGCACTTAATGCCAAACTGGCTGTACACAGGAACCCCTCAAGCAGGATGGGTACAAGACATTTGGTTGCCCAAGCTCCTCAGCAACTGTTGCATGCATGCAGTCTCTGACAATGGAGTTAGCCCATACTAGCAAAGCTAGTAGCCACTGAATTGGTCCAGTTCCCTTTTAAAGCCATCCACATTGTTGCCCATCTCTATACTTTTTCCAATTCACTAATGCCCTTTTTCAGGTAAGGCAACCAGAACTGTACACAATATTCTAAGTGCAGTCACACAAAAGATTTATATAAGGGGACTACAATCTTGGCAGTTACAGTTTCTATTTCATTCCTAATTATGCCTAATATGGAGTTTGCCTTTTTCACAGCATCTATGCACTGCTTATATTTTTACCAACCATTTTCATCCCACCCAGCCACATCCCTTTCTTGCTCAGTCACTGCTAGCTCAATTCCTGTCAGCATATATGTGAGGTTGGGATTTTTTTGCCTCAACTTGCATTATTTTACACTTGTTTACATTGAACTGCATTTTTCATTTTGATGTCCATTCTCGCAGCTTGGAGAGATCCTTTGGAGCTTTTCATAATCCCATTTTATTTTAACCATCCTAAATAGTTCGGTGTCACCAGTAAACCTGACCACTTCACTGTTTATTCCTAATTCCAAACATTTACGTTGAATTGCATTGGTTCTAATTTACTGGCTTCACTGGTTACATCCCTCCACTGAGAGAAATGGCCATTTATTCCCACTCTCTGTTTCCTGTTCTTTAAGCAGTCAGTGACCCATAAGTGGATCCCTTCTCCTTTTTATTCCATGATTGCTAAGTTTTTTTCAGGAGCCTTTGGTGCTGGACATCAAAGGCCTTTTGGAAGCCTAAGTAAACAGTGTTTACCAGATCACACTTTGTCCACATGCTTATTGATGCTCTCACTTATTTCTAATAGGCTGTGTTAGCTGCATTGTGTCAGTTACTTCAAAGTCTTAAGAACTACAGTAGGTATTATGTTTTCATAGGTAAAGGATTCCTCCCATAATGTGTTAGGAGTAAACAGGTGACACATGAGTGAACAAAACCATCCAGCTATAGATGGCAGCCTACCAAGTGTTTGACACACATTTTTGCTGTTTCTTGGGTTCATATGACTTGTGATATTTGTTCACTTTGATTGGCCTGATCTATTTGGATAAAATGTATGTATGCATGAGACAAAAAAAAGTATTGGGAAATGTTCCTAACCCTTATTTTCAGTCTGGGACTAGACAGAGCAACATGAATGCCCATATAATTGTCCTGTGGTTTGAAAGGCTTCCAAAACCCAGCGCAATGGTGAGGACAATCCCTGCCCCCTCAATTTCACTCATTATTTCATCAGGCTGAATAGAGGGGAGTTGGAAACCAGGGTCATTCTGTTTGCTCTGTTGTCAGACTGTAGTCTGTTGGGAAGCTCTGTCCCTCCGCTGTCACCTGGCAGCAACACATTTTATCAGATGGAACAGAGAAAGAGGTGGGAAGTAGAACTATTCAGTCTGCTGAGAGCATTTCATTCCACCTTTCCCAGAACTGTTTCTGATTAAGCTCTTCATTAAGTTTTAATATGTAACTTTAAGGTTAATACAGTCCCTGATTAACCTTAAAGTTACATATTGGTGTGGAAGCCCCTCTATGAGTTTTTTTTTTTTTTTTTTTGGCTGAAAAGCAAAGTAAAATATGATGAATAAACTTGAGAAGAAGGAGCTTGAAGTGAAACAGTTAAACAAGCCCGAAAAGTAGGTGGCCTGTTGGTTTGATCCATGCTTCCCAAGCATTTGGAGTGTCTTAAATACAGTTTATCATGCTTACCAGTGAATAGTAACTTACCGTATTTTTCGCTCTATAAGTTGCACTTGACCATAAGACGCACCTAGTTTTTAGAGGAGGGATCCATGGAAAGTTTCCTGATAATCACAGGCACATTCCCCATCACTTCCCCATGGGCTTCATTAAAAGACTGGTTGCCATTTGAAAACACCACCGACCTGTGATTACAACTCTCACCTGTGCTGGAGGAGGGGGGCGGAGCAGGGCACGCCAAGCTCGTGCCGGCCAGGTGTGGTGCAGCCGGGCCGGCAGTGTGCCGGCAGTGGTCTTCTGGGTGGCGCAGCGGCAGCAGGTCTTCCCGGGCGGTGGGGGTGAGCAGTCCGTCTCTCCGTGCGGCTGGTGGGTTAAAGCCCGCGGCTGCTCCTCCTCTGCACCGCTCCCCCTGAGTGGCACAGCTCTCACCTGCGCCGGAGCAGGGCGGGGGGGTGGAGCAGCACGCGCTGAGCGCGTGCCAGCCAGGTGGTGCCACGTGGTGCAGGCGGGCCGGCAGCGTCCCGGCAACACACACGCATTCGTTCTATAAGACGCACAGACATTTCCCCTTTTGAGGGGGAAAAAGTGCGTCTTATAGAGTGAAAAATATGGTACTCACTGCATCCAAAGAAATTGTGGAACCCTGAAATATCTTTAGTGATTGTTGAAAGCATCAAGCCCTTGATAACATCACAGTCATCAAGTGCATAAATGATTCCTTGAAAGGAAAAAGATGGGATGTAAATATAATGCAAGAAAAAATGAAATTTAACCTCTATCACTCAGAAAGAGGTTACTGTCTGTCAGGAGTCTGAGGACTTACTAGTGTTGGTCCTAAAACCTTGTATGATCAAAATTCACAGCATAATTTGTTACATTTTCCCTCCACCAACACACACATAGAGTCAGCAGTGTCTCCTAATACTTTCTTATAGGTTATACCACAGATGGGAAATTTCTAAGTCTTCATATGCTCTTGTATTTCAGCCCCCATCAGTCCAAGCCAACAGGGCTAATGGTCAGGCATGATGGTAGTAGTGAAGAACTTGTGACCTTCCAGATGATGCTAGAGTAAAACTGATCTGTGCTATTATTGCTGGGATTTGCACACTACTCTGCTTCTTATGTGTGTCACCAGCAAAATTGCTCCTTCCTTTCATCCAGTATAGCAAATGATCAGTGGAGGTCATAGCACTGTCCCTGTAACACTGTCCCTTTCTTAGCAGCTTCATGCATTCAGTTTTGAAGAACACGAAGGACTTTTCCACTTTTATATGATGGCTATTTGTGTGAAAAGGTGACACAGATGTTACCACATGAGACAACAGACATCAGATTGTATGAAATGGCAGTATAACTGCCAAGTTTATGCAGTACCTAAGTGCTGAGAATTTATCAGCAATTTCTGAAAATAAAGTTACTGGATCAGATTGGTTGGAGACATGTTATCAAGTTGTACTTTTAGTGTTAGTAAATTCTTCCATTTTGGTGGGTACAAATAACATGTTAATGATACTTGGAATCTGATAAAAGTTGGGCCGGTTTATACTTCGTTCATTTATTATGGTCAAGATCAGGAAGGCTGATTTATATAGCATTTGGCATTTATGCTTTTATACACAGTTGAAAATGAGAATCCACTCACTCACCTCCCATCTGCAGCATGCCAAGCATTATAGGTGACCTGGGTCATCGGTATGAACATTCATCTGCCTTATCTTTGAAGTATTTTATCGTGTTCTTTGTTCTTGTATGCTAATATGAATGTTCACACTTATTACTGTGCACTCCTGTAAAGGCAAGGAGAGGATTCATGAGTTTAGGAATTATTTGTGTCACACCATGTGTGACATCTTTTTAGCACCACATTTGAGTTGGGAAAATATATAGTGAGTATGATTCATTCTCTCTCTCTCTCTCTCTCTCTCTCTCTCTCTCTCTCTCTCTTTGTGTGTGTGTGTGGGGGGGGGGGGGGGGGAAGTGCTATTTGAGGAAACTTCCTAATGCAGTATGTGATATTGTTCCAGTTTGGAAGGAGTTTCCATTTAAATAACTTCTTTAAGTGCCTACTTTTCTTTGCTGTTTTCCAAAACACAGAGGCAATGATGTGCTTTCAAAATCCATCTTCATTCTGTTGTTTCTAATTGTTCTTACTCATGACAAAATGAGCCTATTTTAATTAAATAAATTTAATTAAATCAGCTTAAGTGCACATGCTCTCTTGCCATGGTGTGCAGTTTCAGAAGCTTTGACCAATGAGATTCTAAAGTCATTATTCATCCTCAACTCTTTAAGAATTGTGCTATTAACAGCTGTTAAAAGCCAGAAAGCTAGGGCAGCTCAGCAAAATAAGGGTAAAGTGCTGGTTTTCTTGGTCATTTGGTATGCAATATTGTGTCCTTCTGAAGAATTCTCATTTTTTTTTCTTACAGTGCCACAGGGTAATCCATTCTGTTTCTCTTATCCTGGTGAGATGGAATATAATAATCCTCACACTCCTGTCTGCTGCACTTTTTGGAAGCTGGACTTCCTGTTGCCACCTGCACGTCTCTTCCTCTCTAGGAAGTTGTCTTAGTGCCCATGAGGATTGGGCAAGAGGGCTATGTCCCATTATCTGTAGAGAGAAGACTCACCATTGTGCATGTGTTGCAGAATTCATTTTAGTTATAAGCACAACATGGTGCTCGAGTCTTAAATGCTCACCAGATTTTTCTCAAAATCAGCCACTTGTTCAGTGACTTGTGAACCTACTTCATTTCTTGATGAACACAATGTCTGCAAGCAAGATTTGCTTGCACTTATTGTAGTGTTTTTCAGATTGATAAATAATAACTTAATTGGATTACCTGTTCCCAGGTAAAGATTGTCTTACTCGGGAGATCTGTTGAGGAAGATTTTATGAAATAGAAGTTTGTTTTTAGGTCATCCATCTGCCACCGAAAACTGGTGAACTACCCAAACTATTTGTGGACTGACTTACAATGCTGTTTCCTTAATTGTGCTACTGTTTTAGGGCTTGACTAGATTTATATATGTGTTTTACAACATGTATATCTTTATTCTTCTGTGAGTTCTAGACAATCTACAAGGAACACTATTGAAAACATCCATAATCTAGAAATTGCAGCAGAAAAATGCAATACATAGCTATTAAAATAGTTAAAAACCAGACTACTTAAAACAACAGCTAAATTATTAACTGAAGTCCTTTCTTAAAAGGATGTTCTTCTCAAAGGAATGTTCACAAACCATTCATGAAGAGAATTAGCAGAACTGGTTGTATGGCTCTAGTGTTTTACTCATGTGATACCTAGTGGCTACATTATGCATCTTATATTTATCACATGTGTATTTAAGAAACACCAAGTGCTGCTTCACCAAAATTTTGTGCTGTCACATAAAACTGGAGCAAGATGTCTATTAAAAGTGTTAAGATTGGTCACTTTTCCTATTCATATCTTGTTCTTCATACATTGCCTGTAAAATCCTGTCTTTATACTTCCCTTTAGCAAAGTTACGGCTCAACCAAAATATTTGATCCCTTGCATGATTACAGTTTGTGTTTGCATGATGCATGTCCTGCACATCAAAATCATGACATGAATCACTGAATCAGAAGTTGCAAAATATCCAAAAAAAAAAAAAAAGTTTTCTTCCTGCTGTGTAAGAAATGAAGAGTTGGCTGCTGGACAATTGAATGTTATGTAAAAATTGTTGAAAATGGTAAAATATTCCATATGATTAAACATCTGTTGTGACAGCACTCTATCTTATTGAATCGTGGTATCATTTGATAGCAATAGCAAATTGCTATCAAATTGTTTGTGTGTCTTCCTCCCTAGACTTAGGAGAGTTAGGGTTCTAAGGAGGGTGTCAAGCAGAAAATCCACTTTAGCAAAGCTCTCTACATTAGAGTACAATCCACATTGTAGGGCAACCCATGGTCAAATTCCCTCTCAGCTGCAGAGTTTAGTGGATCACTCCTGGGCCAGTCACAATTTCTCAAGCAACCTACCTTACCAGGTTGCCCTCCCTCCCTCCCTGTTTATGTGTGTGTCACTTCCTTAAACTTCTCAAGAAAGAAAGGGCATAAAAACAATGTAAATAAAATAAGTATGCATAAAAGTTGGGTCTCTACCTAGGGATAGCAGAAGGTGGAAAACTGAGTAGAAATGGGAGCCATATGAATGGTGGCAGCAAGGTAGCATTTTTTTCTTGAGCTAGGGAAAGGGGTTCCCATGAACAGTAGGCTGTTGCATTGTGCAAGGGCTTATTCATGAACAGCTAGAATATGGGCTAGAAAGTGACATATAAAAATCAGGAAGGGGAAGACTGAGGAGAAAGGAGCTGTCTTGTCCTGTTTGATCAGAGAGCAGACGATAAAGAAAAGGAACTGGGTATGAGTAGTCTTCTATTAGGTGAGATTGAAGGGATGCAAAGCTTGCCATACACCCCTTCCCATGCAGGGTCATATATACGTGATGGCATGCTCCTCTCTTCCTCCAGGAGTGTACTTCATTTATATATTAGCTAGGGAGAAGAGGCTTCCATAGCACTTATAACCTACATAGTTTCTATGCTAGGTGTAGTGAAGGAATTGAAACACTCCAGCCCTCCTCCATCAGCCTGCCCACTTGCCTGCAACCTATTCTTTTTCACCTATGCCTACCAGACAAGTGCTGAACTTTTTCTATCTGATAAAATACAGAAAACAATAGTTATGTGTCTAATTGAAGTGGCAGCAGAGAAATAGGAAACAAGAATGAAAGAATGAAAAAGGTAATCAGGAAAACATATTGGTTGGATCTATACCATTTTTTTAATTGGAGAGTGAATTAAAAGCTGAAATCATGGGCATTTAGTGAATTGTAGGGAGATGAAAATGGTTTGGAAAGATAGTTATAAGAGAGAGAGGTAGGAATTAAAACTTAATGAAAGCAGATCAGGGCACAATCCCTTCCATGTTTAGACAGAAATGAAAGGCCTGTGACTCCCAGCAGTCCCCTGCTAGCCTTGCTAGAAGTTGCAGGACTTTTTCCTGTCTAAACACACAAAGGGATGTGTTATTCGAAAATAAAATCTGTCCTCTGAAATAGGAAATAAATAAGTATGTAGAACATGTCTTGGTGACATGAGTGATTAATTATTGGGTAAGAGTGAGGAGTAAACCAAAAGAAAGCTGATGGAAAAATAAATTAGTGCACTCAGATTTAAAACCCTTATATGCTAAAACAGAGGTATGAATTGAGGGAATGAAAATACTTTGGGCCAGGATATATTAAATGTTATTGGATTTCCAGAAAAGAATTGAGAGAAACAATTGGTTCTGTGTTTTAGATTCTCATCAGAGAGAGTACTTGATGTTAGCTATGTTGTAAATACAGACTGTGCTTATTGTTTGTATTCTAGATTTTAGCTTAAAAGCTAGAAGGAAGAATGAAGAAGCTAGAAAAAAAAAGGCAGATGTTATCTACAGAGTATGATGTTTTAGTAATAGATGAACAAGTTGATGATTACCCACACCTGTATTAAAATAGTTTCTGTAGAAGATGAGAATTCAGTATTAGACTAAGAAATGTGGGCTTTATGTTAAACTACTGATTTTTCTTAAGAATGAATGGATTTCTAGTTTATAATGTAGATGATCAGTAGTTGTTGGACAATGAGACTAGCAGATTCAAAGCAATAGTGCTGGTTATTGAAAAAGAAGATAGACTTCATCAAATTTTAGCAGGGGTTATAATTGAATGACTAGATTCCTTTTATAAAGTTGTATATATTGAAATCTACAGTGGAATGGATCCAGATTTACACATGTGCACTTGGACCTTTGGAAGGAGGACTTCCTCACCCTCTTTGCCCCATGGTAGATCCTCCAGTGCACAGAAAAAAATGGTATATACAAGAAAGTGGGGTTCTGATTAATGGGATTGGCTGTGCTTCAGGGAGGTCCCTGAAAATAGGCAGCGGCACCTCCTATGACCAGAATTCTATTTATTGGAGGGTGTTCAGGGATTCCTTGGCTTTACTGCACCATAATCCACCTGATTCAACAGGGTTCCCCACCGTTGGGAATGAAAGAGGCAGTTGTTCTGGGTACATGTTTGAAGGCCAAGTAGACTTAAACTCTTCAAAGAGGGAGGGGAGGGGGAGGAACCCTGGGAAATAGGGCTTCCAGATTTCAAAGAGCTATGAGGATGTGTTAAATTTAAATTGGCAAATGCATTTGACACGGTGATGCACATGATGGCAAAAAAGCTTCATATATATGCTTGAAGGGGTTTTGAGTTTACAGTGATTGACCAAGAAAGTGATTTGAGGTTTGTCATGGCTAGCTCAATGAAAATGATGACCCAGTGTGCTATGAAAAAGGCAAATGTTTGCCATCATTAGAAAAGAAAATGAAAATTAAAACATCAGATATAAAACTGTTATATAAATCTACAGTATAATCACACTTAGAATATTGTGTGAAGTTTTGGTCTCTGTACCTCAAATTTTATAGATCTGGAAAAGGTGCAGAAAAAGACAATCAGATGATTGTGGGGCTGGAGCAAGTAAACAAGCTTAAGAAATTAAGAAATCTTAAATCCTTTTGGATATAAAGAATATCTGCATGTGCATTTTAATGAAATAAAATACACTGTTGTTCATAAACCTTGAAGAGAAAAGGGTAGATATAAATTTCATACTTTAAAGACTTTTAGTGGAGCAAACCATGTTATAAATGGCTTTTTTCTTTTGCTTACAGGAAATTTGGTGAGCGACCTCCACCTAAGCGGCTCACCAGGTAAGACATGGCACTTTCATTCTTGACTAGAGCCAAGTTTATGTAAGCAGCAGATATAATTGAAAAACTGTTCTTGGAGTCTAGCAGTTATATGGTTGAATATCTATCTATCCATCCAAACTTTCATATGGAAAATTAGATGTCCTATAGAAGAATTCTATCTTAGATTTCTACTTGGTTTGCTAATTTTGTATAAGTAGAGATTTTCCCGCTCTCCACCTTTTCACTTGTAATCCAAAGTGCATGCCCAGAAAGAGTTTTACATGTGTGAGCTCAGTCTGAACATACTGTATTATTCTTGCCTTCCAAACAATAAATCAACTTTGAATTTATGGCAGAGTTTATAAAAAGAATGACGAGGACATCATAATCACAATATGGCTGGCATAAAGTCTTCACCTCAGTTCTGTAGCAGAACTTCTAGCAACAGAAGTGGCACTATTTCTACTGAAAACATTTTAGGTTGCTTTTGCAATATGCAAAAGGCTGTACAATATTGAAAAGCAATACAAATAACAAGTGATCATAACATAGCTCATATTTATTTATTTATTATTTATTTAAAACTTTTATATGCTGTCCCTTATGCACGGGATCTCAGGACAGCTTACTTATTTATAAAAATACACTAAATGTTTGCACCTGAACAAGAAGCGTTGAAGAGTTAAGAGCTTTTTCTGTCTAAAATAGGTTGTCCCAAAGCCCTATGGAATAAAAGTTGTGCTCTCTGTCACAGTTCTATCCTTTTTCAATGATGTAATATGAAGCAGGGCTTGATCACCTGAGTGCAGCCAGTGTGCAGTATGAATCACACAGTAGGGATGGCTTTTCCAACTTTCAAGTAACTGAAATTCTCTCTCTCTCTGTCTCTCTCTCTCTGTCTCTCTCTCTCTCTCTCTCTCTCTCTCTCTCTCTATATATATATATATATATATATAACATTATACTTCAGACCTCTCCATCTGACAAATCTGATTAAAAGGAGTGAGCTTGAGAAGAATGGAAATTTCCCATTGCTAAATAATGAATGCTCTTTTTTGCAACAGTAGTTGTTGCCTTTTGCTTCTGATGTTATTGTAACACTTAGCTTTCCCATTATTTAGTTGTCTATGTATGCTGAAACCATGAGAAATATCTAACAAATTCACATTTGAGAGACTTTGAATTCTAACATAGGTCACAAGAAAGAATTTAACTCATACATTTAAGTTGGGTCTGTCCAGTTCTAATTTGTATCACATAGCAGAAAAATATCTCCTAACAATAACTTTAGATTCTGAATTCCTTTTTAAAATTTCAAAATAACCCTCTTATAGACAAGAGTCATTCATAAGTCAGATTCCTTGTAAAGTCTGAATAAAAAAGGTTCTCTTCTAGTGGTCTGCCATCAAGTTAACTAAGGTTTGCAAGATGGAATGGCATTCAGCCTGAGAACAGAAACTGTCCCATTTTCAGGGAATGAAAACTCATTCATAGACCAACAAGGATATTGCACATAGTTTTTAGAAGGAGTGTAGAATAAACTTACATTCAGTTCGTTCTTTCTGTCTCTGTCTCTCGTTGTCTCTCTCTCTGTGTATGTGGAAAGGCTGCAATCACCTCTATAATCATCTCTCTGCAATCATCTGTAAAAAGTAATCATCTCTTTATCTTTTTACAAATGGTAGCCAACTATTGTTTGAAATAAAATGGAGAAAAACTAGAAGTTTGCCTTATTTGGAAGACAAGTCCTGTATTAATAAACAAATGCTAACTTCTTAACCATGGAGTTACTCTTATAGTTCTGAACATGAATAATACACATTGACTTGGTTCAGATGACACAACCATCCACCCTTGTCGTGGGCTGTGTTGCACATGCTGGCTTGTTTTTTCAAACAAGCCGCCCTATAGAGACCATGGGCTCTTCTAGGGTTGTTATCACTCACAGTGATCTGAACACCATCTAGAGTTAGCATCCACAGTGATTTGAACCATGGGTGAGCCCCAGCACCCTCACTATGGACAAGCAGCTTCCAGGTGAGCATCAGCCTCCAAAGTGCCTGCATAACACTCTGTCACAAGCTTTTTCCAGCCGGTAGCAGCCTGGAGTAGCCATCCTTGCTGGTGGCTCAAGAGTAGACTTCTTGAGCCACCAGCAAGGATGGCCAGGATCTATTTCTTCTTGACAAGGAGGATGCCCTATGTGCTTGGAAGTACCACTCAGGGTTGGGACTCCCATCTCCTGCATGAGAGGCCCAGTCTTGGGCAGAAAGTGGGAGTCCCTAATCTGCTTGGTGATGGTGCTCAGGAATGGGGCAGCACTGCCAAGGAGATTGCTGGCTCTTGTCTAAGAAGTCTTCTGCCAGAGACAGCACATGGCAGGGAGTGCTCAGTCAGTTTACCAGTACTCCCTCTGCATTTCAGATCAGGAACCCTGTTTGCATTATGGAGACAAAGTTGTTTTTTCTTTTTGTCCCTACAGCACAAACAGGATTCCTGCCCTGAGATGCAATAGGAAAAAATGCCCAGTCTTGACTGGACACCATCTAGGCTGTAGCCCCCCGCACAATGTGCCAACCCCAACTGGAAGTTTTCCCTATTGCATTTCCCCCAGGGTACAAGCTCTATTTATTTAACAGGGACTCTCTGACAGCCATAGTGAGCTGAAAATCATGTAGTCATCATGGCTGTCAGAGAGAAGAGGCTTGTTCAATCCTTTAAGTGTCCCCTGGGATACCACCTAGAGCAGGGGTCCTCAAACTTTTTCAATAGGGGGCCCGTTGAAATGCGGCGGCTACACACGCAGGCTGGTGGGGGGGGGGTGCCTGGGTGCACGCGCGGTGAGGTGTCAGGCGCGTGTGAAGTGGCGTTAGGTGGGCACAGCGGCGACTTGCTCGCTCAGAGATCTCGCAGTGAGTTCAAAACCATCTCCAAGCGAGCAAGCCACCAGTGAGCGTGCGTGCACAGGGGTGGCCACACAAAATATTGACACTTTGGGCCCAGTTTGGACAGTTTCACTTAGGGGTGTACTCACTTTTGTTGCCAGCGGTTTAGACATTAATGGCTGTGTGTTGAGTTATTGAGGGGACAGCAAATTTACACTGTTATACAAGCTGTATACTCACTACTTTACATTGTAGCAAAGTCATTTCTTCAGGGTTGTCACATGAAAAGATATAATAACATATTTACAAAATGTGAGGGGTGTACTCACTTCTGTGATACACTGTAACTCCAATGAAAGTATTCATAAAAAGATAAAAATATGAAAACATTTAAATTGATCTAAAAACATTAAATTCAGATTGCATTTATCTCATTTGATCACAACTAATAATCAATATATTATGGTCATCAAAACTTTTTATGATGAGTCAAAATTGCAGATTTCCGTAGTAAACATGAAAGTTGGGATTCAAAGAATCTTGCTGCAAAAAGTTTGCTGTCAACAGATATTTTGTCTGGCTAGCCAGAATAATGGATTTAGTTCAGTTTCCAGGACTTTATTTTTGGTTGTGAAACTGCATGACTATGCTCATGGATGTCATAAGATTCTTCCTACGGGGTGTCACAGGACAGATTCTTGACCCATATTCACCCAAGAATCTGGCCATCAGCTTCAATTGAAGCATTTCTTGGCTTTGCAACACCTCTGGTGTAAACAACTGGGACAGAGAATGTAGCGGTCACAGTGCCTTTTCTAATGGATCCCTGGAGTCATTTTGCTTATTTGAACAGTTAAAGGAAGAGGGGTGTTTAGGAAATGGGAAAAATGCTTACATGTAACTGCTACCCCACTGAAAAAGGGTATAAGAATGGGCATGTGGTAAAAGGGAACACTTGCTCATTCATATTCTTCTGTTGCCTGGAATGGGATGGGACTGGAAATACTTAGCTATGGAAGGAGGCGGGAGTCAGAGGCAAGGTAAAGTTTCCCCTATCCTCACTGTCAGTCTACCACTGTCTAATCTGAGAAGGTCAAACACTAGTCATTCAGTAAGCAAGACTAGTCCGTCTCTGTATTCTGAAATAACTTGCACCTTTCATATTGTGCTAGAATGTTTTGAAACGTAAACCTGTTTAAACATTAACCTGAACACATAACAACTTCAATTGGTCAGAGAGTTAGAGCCATACACACTGGTCATCTACAGGCACCTGTCCCACGTACTTGAATGTGAGTAGAACTTTTCTTATGGTTTCATCAGGTTGCTGATTGAATAGAGAATTCCACTCACATTCAAGCAGATACAATTAGAGCTTCCTTCAGGCCCTACTGATTCAACACAGGAAGGATTGAACTGAAGGGAGCAAGGCCATTTCACCTGAAGAATCTATCCACGTTAAGCCCTCATCTATGTGGCTTTCTGAAGAAGGTAATAGGCTGTGGTTATTGAGATGTTGCAGTCTTTCTATGTTTCCTTATAGCCTTACGAAAGTTCAAAGGACATTTCTGTTAACTTCATTATATTCTTGAAATTTTAGGGAAGCTATGAGAAATTATTTAAAGGAGCGTGGTGATCAAACTGTTCTAATTCTTCATGCAAAAGTTGCACAGAAATCCTATGGGAATGAAAAGAGGTAAAGAATTTTGTTGGTGTCTTGAACTATATATTCTTTTGTCCTGCTTTACGATTACAGGAAAAAATCTTACATTAAATGTAGTGGAATGTTCAGGCAGTTCTAATATTTTCTACCGTTAATGTGATGTCTGAAGTATTGATTGTCAGATTGTTTTACTAATGCTGTAATGTTGTTCTTTGAAAGTTTGGTTACATGTGCTTTTTTCAAATTTTAATTGAAAAAAGATTGCATAACTCTAACCATGAAGGAACTCTAATTCTTTGAGTGGAGCTCCATCTAGTGTCTGAATTCAGGTTTCATTTGTGTTTAGGCATTCTTTGTCTAGTCATTTAAAGGCAGGGCCAAACAGCAATGCTAAGAATGAATGAAATCTATATTTGTTTTTGTTTTAACAGAAACATTTCTTTTATATTGGTAAAACTAGAGTAGAGATAATTCTCTGGAGAAGTCCTATATTGAATATTGTACATTCTATTGCACTTAATATTTAACCTCTAAAAACAGGTTTTAACCTCTAAAAACAATACTCCTCTCATTCCCTTAATTTAAAGAGGGTCAAGGAATTAATTGTGTGACCCATAGACAACATCTGAGGGTCCGCAGGATTTTTCACAGATTCAAGGTTAGAGACAGTGCTTTGACCTTGGACCTGCAAACTGCTTCAACTCCAATCCCTTATAGTCAGTGCAGAAATAATCATATTGGCTACTCTCTATGAATGGAACAGTGATCTGAAAGAGTGGTAAAGGGGCATTTTGAGGGCCAGAGAGGAGACTGGGGAGGCCAGTGTACATGGTGTCCTGAAACCATTCCAGCCTCCTACCTTCTCCTTTTTAAATGCTCATGCTAGATAGGAGGAAAAGCCCCTCTAGAAAAGATGCAAAGCAGGAGGATGGGAAAGTGAAGATTGCCTGCTCTGCATTGGATGATTGTAAACCTCCAGACTCAGAAGCTTATGGCATCTGGTTAGGATTATAAAGTAAAATTGTTCTTTTTATCTGAAAAATCATGACCCTTAAAATTTATTTATAGAATATAATATGTATTTATATTTATTTATAGAATATACACTTTCTGTATTCTGCATTAGGGGTTATATTATAAAGCCAATCTGTCATGTGGCCACATATAGTGTATGGTTTTTGTCACTAAATCTCAGAAATATTGTAGAGCTAGAAAAAGTTCAGAAAAGGGTGACCAGATGATCCCTTTATGGAAAGATAGCAACATTGGTGGGAACATAGTAAAGTGGCATATCACATGCTTCATATATGGATGGTCTAGTATCTCCAGCTAGGGTTGGAAGAATTCCTACCTGAAATCTTGGAGAACTTCTGTCAGTAGTAGGTTCACTTGACCAAGGATCTAACTAGGATGACAGCTTCCTATGTTTCCCATGCAAAGGAAAGGAAAGGAAATATGATACAGGCACATCAAGTTGGCTATCCTAAGGGAAGTTATGTCTTGGGGTATAACCCTTTAAACAGAAATAATCTAGATGATGATAAGTACCCTTGAAGTCTAGCTGTTCTCCATGTAATTAATTAAGCAACTGCTTCACCTCTCTCTTATTAAACTCAGTCTTTAGCTTTCACTACACCATATCCAAATCTTACTACTAATAGGTAACAGTGCAGACAACTTTATATTGCGTTATGAAGCCAGGGCACTGTATCTTCTACAATACCATAGTCATTTGTTATTGTTACAAGCCATCAAGTCACCTCTAACTCATAGTGACCCCCTGAATGAATTCCCTCCAAAATATCTTATCCTTGACGGGCATGCTTAGCTCTTATAAATGCAAAGCTGTGGTTTTCTTTATAGAGTCAGTCCATCTCATATTTGGTTTTCCTTTTCTTCTTCTGCCTTTGATTTTCCCTAGCATGATCATTTTGAGGATCGAGTAAAGCATGCTGAGAATCTTCCATTTTGGTTTTAGAAATGGCTTTTAAAAATGTGGTAGGTTTTGCAAGGCGTTAGAAACCGTTGACCTTGTATCGGGTGTCAGGGCTTTGCATAGTTCCTTGTCATTGACTAAGTGGAAATAATATAAATTGTGCTAAATTAGTAAATACTGAAGAAATTATCTCTTAGTCATTTATACATTTGATAGTCTAGTTTTTCTTGATGCAGATTTTTAAAAAATGTATTTGCTCAGTGTAGTTTCAACCTAGTACACAGTGTAAGCACAAAGCATTACATATCAATCTGTTCTTCATCAGGTTTTTTTGCCCCCCACCATGCGTATATCTTATGGGTAGTGGGTGGAAGAAAAAAAAAGAACAGATGGAACGGGATGGCTGCTCTGAACAAGAGTCTCAACCATGCGCCTTTATTGGGATAGGAAATAGTGACCAAGAAATGCAGCAGTTAAACCTGGAAGGAAAGGTAAATTGAATACACTTATGTATTTCTTGTACAAATTCAGAGATGCATGGAATATTATCAGTCGTGTTTTTATAAATGGTATGAGAGAATAAAGCATTGATACGTTTCCTTTGTTCACTCTCAGTTAAGTCACTATCTTGCTACCTCTGTTCCTTCTCAGTAAATGATAGATACTGTGTACTGTAATGATAGTGAACTGTTTTAACTGTCTTTGCCTGGAAACACACATGGATGTATTTCAAATATTTTATTTATGTAAACAGCCTGTCAACTTCTAAATATTATTATGCAAACAGATACATGGCCAAACATGCTGTACTATGACTCCCAAAAAAACTACTGTTTCAGGAGCAATACATTTATGAAGTTCTTGATGTAATACAGTCTCCTGAAGTGTTTGAAAACCTTAGTATTTGTTTTAACATTATATGCATAGATTTCATCAAAATACTTCATAGTGTTGGGTGATATATAAAAACTTGAGATAGTGAGGAAATAGCTTATCACCATCCATAGTTGTTAGGGAACCATATGACTTTAGCTCTTAAAAGCTTAACTGAAGTCTTTATGGGTCATAGACATGGCTTTTCTCAAGGAAAGGAGCATTCCTCTAGTTGTCTAACCAATTTAGTGAAAGTAAAGAGAAAGTAAAGAACAGGGTTTTGTGATTATACATAGTTGCTCACTTGTTAGGGCTTATTTGTTCATTACTACACAAAATTCTTATTATGAATCGCAGGTTTTTGTGTGTTTAGTCAAAGAATGTATTCAGCTATATTCCACATTTTGTTAAACACAGTAGCCATTTTTGCATACTAAACTTATCCAAGTTTACTTTGAAGAAGTTGCATGCTGGTGTTTTTTCAGTTTTTTCCCTCCATTTTGCATGAATAGGTAGTAATAACCAGAATTTGATAGCTGTTTGTGATGTCCGAACCTGAGATCCTGGTTTGTACCTGGCAGACAAGCTAAGGGTTTTAAGCAAGTAAACATTGTCTCATTTCTTTGGAGAAACAAGTCGAGATCTTTGATTTGGATGTCTGAAGTTATCCATTCTTGTTTGGTTAAGCTAGTCACAGGAAGGGAGGAGTGAACTGACTGGATGTATGAACAGACTGTCTATCTGTTGCCTTCTTAAGAATAACATGTCCTTGAGGAAAGTTGAAAGAAATCCACCAAGACCAACTAACTCATTATGTTCTCTCCATGGTGCAAAAATGAGATTGTACCATGTACCAGATTCTTACAAAGTCTGCAGTCCTCCCTGGAATGTAAAGGCATAAAACCATTGACAGTTTGACATTTTTACCTAGATATTTGCAGTGTTACTACTGTAGTCTTCCATTGAATTGATCCAGGATTGCTTACATTTTACTTGGGTTTCTTTGAGAGAAATCAAGCTAGCTATTTCTTCTTATCTACAGAACTATTGCACAGCTAAAACTTTGTACATATCCGACTCTGACAAGCGAAAGCACTTCATGTTATCCGTAAAAATGTTCTACGGTAATAGTGATGATATTGGTGTATTCCTCAGTAAACGGATCAAAGTAATCTCCAAACCTTCTAAAAAGAAACAGTCACTGAAAAACGCAGACTGTAAGTATTTGCAGATTATTTTAATTTAACTAAGGATTTTAACAAGGAAAATGTATTTAATCTTACATAGGCAGTATATGCTTTGAAAGAGCAATAGGATAGCTTGAATCTGGAAATTAACTTGATCATAAGCTACCACAGCAAACACAGCAGTGGCACCTTTCAACTTTTGAAACATTACCTACTGCAATTGCTGTAACAGTATTATGAAATTTAAGAGCTGAAGAAGAAATGCAGGGGTCACCTGCATGCATTTGTTACTGGACTGTACCCAGTCTGGACCACAGGGAAGATTGAATGCTATCCATATAAACTACTTGTCACATATATAAATTTACACAGGGATTTTTTTAAACTAGCCCTTTCTCTTCTCTTTATGTTTTGTGTGTTCAGTGTATTTTAGGATTATGTGTATTTTATGTGGGATAACTTTCAAGCATTCATTCTCCCATGTGTTGAAATGGTATGTTTTGGCAACAGATATTTTATAGTGCCTCTTTGTGTCAGCTCTAATTCAACATTTATATACTGCTCCACATACTTACAACATTTATATACTGCCCTTTTGCCAAAACACTCAAAGTAGTGTACTATTTCAGAATAAAGACCTGTAATGTGATAACAGAAGGAAAAGGAAAGAAATTATGCAGATTCAAACACCCAAATAGTCATTCTGTTAGATAATCAAGTTTCATAAGGACTGAATAGTAGTGTTGGTTCAGGAAAAGCTTTGGGGTGGGAAAAGCAGAAGGGTAGTTGATTATAGTGGTATTAATGGGACAGGGCCTTGCCACTTCACAACAAATCATACTTTGATTTTACCTTCTGCTGAAGAAAGATTGCAAAATTTGCTGGTGATCCAGTCTGCAATTCTGCTTCACAGCCAAAGTAGAGTTTGCAGAAATGTCACTGCCCTTCTACTTTCCACTGTTTATAGCAACCTTGCTGTGTTGTGGAGGATTCCACAACCACAGGTTGTACAATGCAAAATATTGAACATAGTACATCTTCATTTTGGTGCCCAGTATTGTGAGAAAATGGCATAGCAAAGTAGTACACAAAAAGTAATTTGATTTATTAAAATTGAAAATGTTAATTACTGGAAAAAGGTGACAAATGAGGTTTGCAGAAGATGATAGAAGGGGAACTTTGCTATATTATTTTCACCTACTGGACTTTTGAGACAATAGTGAAAGTTTGATATTCAATAACCCACAACTTTAAAAATTTCCTCCTTTAAAGAATATAAGGTATGGTCCTTTTAAGTCTTATAACTGTGGCCACACCTAAGAAATTTTTAGCTTTTGTTGATTTTTTAAACTTTAATTCCAAGAGTCAGTTTTTATATTTTAAAGATGTACATTCTTTGGAGTTGTTTTTGAAGTGTTTACAATTTGCTTGGGAGTAACTTTTTTTGTATACACATCAGTTTTTAATGCAGGCTTTTCTGAAGTCTAGTCTAAAGGCTGGCATATTTAAGTCTCATGTGGTTTTTTGCAGTGTGCATTGCATCAGGGACAAAAGTGGCACTGTTCAATCGACTTCGGTCGCAAACAGTTAGCACCAGATACTTGCACGTTGAAGGAGGAAACTTTCACGCCAGCTCACAACAGTGGGGAGCATTTTATATTCATCTCTGTAAGTAAAACTTACACTGTTGAAAATTGATTTGCTTTATTGTAGTTGCATGCATGAATTAATACTGTAATACAGCAATAGTGTAGTTGCATCATTTTGGAAATCACTGATTTTCTGACATATTGAAACCTTTCTTTTCTATGCAGTGGATGATGATGAATCAGAAGGAGAAGAATTCACAGTTAGAGACGGCTACATTCATTACGGCCAGACAGTCAAACTTGTTTGTTCAGTTACCGGCATGGCACTCCCAAGATTGGTATATTTAACTTATTCACTGTAAAAGTTACCTTTTAATCACTTTAAAAATATTTGTGCCTTGTTAAAGAATAAAGGAAATGCAGATCTTGATTATTAATTTGTCTTTAAAACCTACAAGGCTTAATATGCGTATTTGCTGCTGTTAACAGGGCATCTTTATTTATTATGTTGAAGTGTATTAGAACAGTGGAGGCCACTGTTGAAAAGTCCAAATCCATATAGGTTTACGCTTGGTGCTTAAATTAAGATGCTTCTTATAGAGGCTTGCTTGTTAGCAGAGAGCTTAAGAGAATGAGCTGTAAGACAGGCAGCCCTGAGTTCATATGTGACCTCTCCCTAGGTGGTCTCAGACTTTGAGTCATAAGGGAAGAATAATGCAGGCATTTCTTACAAAACAGTAACTATCATGTATGTGAAGTGGTTTGTACACTTTAAAAAGCTATATACATATTAAGTTTGATGACATATTCTGAAAGTTGTGCAAAACTGAACACAGTTTCTCTCTGCCAGTATATTTAGGGTAAGTGAAAATGCTTCACACAGTTTGAATCCCTCACCCTCTATTATTGTTCAGTGAAAATTGGCTGTAGTAAACTCATACATTTCAGCATGAAGAACTTACATTTGATCTCTTAAATGTGTGTCTTTTCTCTGCAGATAATCCGTAAAGTGGACAAACAAACCGCATTACTAGATGCAGATGATCCAGTGTCACAGCTCCATAAGTGTGCATTTTACCTTAAAGATACTGAACGAATGTACTTGTGCCTTTCCCAAGAGCGAATTATCCAGTTTCAAGTGAGTTATTTTACAAACCACTAATGCACGCCAAAGTAATCTCCCTGAAGCTCAACTCATTCAGTAGCTCAAGGGCATAAGGTTGCAGCTCCTGATCAGGTGTGCTTAAACCTCTTTCTCCTGACCACAGTGGCATTGTTTGAGGGAGCATTGCAGAGGCATGAGTTGGAAAAGGTTGGCTAACCTCACTTTCCTGCAAAATGTCATAGAACGAGCTGTTAAGCTATAAGCAACTGATCTAGCCAGCTGTTAGGGATTTGATGGGGAGAATCTGAGAAGACTGAAGGAGGTTCACAGGAAGAAGCAATAAATGCAAGATACAAACTATGGCATTTTCAAATTGGATCTAATATTAGGGCACTGTAATATCACACTGTCCTAATATTAGACCCAATATGAAGTTTGTGATTTGTTAGTTACTCTAGTGATTTGTGAAACCTGGTTGAGGGAACATATGTCCCTCATATGTTAATCTTTCAGGGGAACCAATGTCCTCTGTATGTCTGGGATGGAAGGATAGTTATGTGTGCAAGGAAGGCAGAGCCACCCCCCCCACCCCTCAATTAGACAAAAGATTATTGATGCTGGGAGTATGTGATACTTTACAGTCCTATACAATCCAACACAAAAGAGGATTGTATTTAGTATATGCTGTCTACTAAAACGCTGCGGCATTGTTAGTATCCTATCTAATTTCTCTTATTTTTCTTCTTCAAAAAGGCCACTCCATGCCCAAAAGAACCAAATAAAGAGATGATAAATGATGGAGCTTCATGGACAATCATTAGCACAGACAAGGCAGAGTATACATTTTATGAGGGGATGGGACCTGTCCATGCACCAGTAACACCTGTGCCTGTTGTGGAAAGTCTTCAGGTATTTTTTTTTTCTGAATACTAATGTTGGTGTTTAACCTTGATTAAACAAAACAAGCCAGGTTACAATGTTTATCAACTGGATCATAATAACAACCACTGTGCACATGGCAAACTGCAAAAATGGAGCTTGATTGATGTGGGAGCTTGTTTGGTGATACTTACGATGAAATCATACAACTGCTTTTTCTCACCTCCATGCGTTTTGCCATTTGCATCACTGAAGTCTGGTGGCTTTCAAGTTAATTTGTTAACCTGTGAAACTACCTTTTAATTTTAGAACTTCCAAGATCCAGGTGACATCATCCATTGATCTCAGCAAATTCCTGCTTCATTTCATGTATATGTATTAGAGTGCTTATTCATTTAATTTTCCATCACCCTACTTTCAGAATGTTCAGGGCAGCACATAAAAGGTTGAATCTGAAGGACTGGATGGGTTCTCCAGAGTTGGAAGAAGTACCTCTAAATTGAACCCTTGGCTTCTCCCACAACTCTGAGAAAGGTTAGGCTGAGTGTATATGACTTTTCCCAACTTGCCCAGTGAGGTACATTACTGAGCCTGGGTTTCTTTGACCCAAGTCAAACACACTATCCATTACACATTGGCTGCGTTCCTAATGATGCTAAATCATGATAAGCCACAGCACCCACAGGTGAGCACATGAATATGCAACCCCCATTGGGAGAACTTGGTGGGCGTGGGATATGTGAGGTTCAGCAACATCACATAACTCTAGAACAGACATAACCCTGAAGCCCATGCTGACACTGCACCCTTAAGCAGAGGTTCTGTATTCAAAACTACAGTGGAATGCAACCTGTGCATTCTACAGCCTCATTGTGGGGTAACCCACAGAGAGGTGTCATGTCATATGAATTACCCCCTTGCTGTATATAGATGTGTACATAAGATGATATAGGTGTATACTTGAAAAGCATAATGTGTGAAGTGGCTGATATATTGCTAGGCAAGACAGTTATAAATTCCTTTCTCGATCATATCTTGCAATGTTTTTATTTAGAGATTTGAGTTACTCTGGTGTGTTAATGTAGTTAAAGACAGGTAGAAGTAATGGAAGCACTCATTTGTTCTTTGACAAGGTTGCTTGAAGGCTCATTTATGTGAAAGGAGCTGATGTCCTATACCTGTCACACAGGGATGAATGTTTTCCCTCTTCAGCCAATTTCCCCCAGAGATTTGAATTAGTCATATTTTATAGGCCTGCATTCCTGGGTTTTCAACCTGCATTCAACACATTCACGTACTCCTGTTAAATCTTACATGTCCCTTTTTTCATCTCTAGTTGAACGGTGGTGGGGATGTAGCAATGCTGGAACTAACTGGGCAGAACTTTACTCCAAATTTACGTGTCTGGTTTGGGGATGTGGAAGCTGAAACAATGTACAGGTATAGTATTGTCTTTAAGTTTTTTATTTAGCAGTTTCAGATCATGTTGAAGTGTGGGGCATTTAGGACTCCGTAGATACATTTCAAACTCTGTAGGTACATTACAGCTATCAAACATTTATTTAAGTTTTAGCTAAACATTTAACCCTAAATTGTTGCTAGTTGCGAAGTTGTGTCTGACCCATCGCAAGCCCATGGACAACATTCCTCCAGGCTTTCCTGTCCTCCACAATCCCCTGGAATCCACTTAAGCTCACACCAACTGCTTCAGTGACTCCATCTAGCCACCTCATTCTCTGCCGTCCCCTTCTTCTTTTGCCTTCTATTGTTCCCAGCATTAGGCTCTTCTCCAGGAAGTCCTTCCTTCTCATTAGGTGGCCAAAGTATTTGAGTTTCATCTTCAGTGTCTGGCCTTCTAAAGAGCAGTCAGGGTTGATCTCCTCTAGGACTGACCGGTTTGATCGCCTTGCAGTCCAAGGGACTCGCAGGAGTCTTCTCCAGCACCACAATTTAAAGGCCTCAATTCTTTGACGCTCAGTCTTCCTTATGGTCCAACTTTCACAGCCATACATGGTTGCAACTGGGAAAACCATAGCCTTGGCTATACGCGCTCTTGTTGGCAGGGTGATGTCTCTGCTTTTTAGTATGCTGTCTAGATTTGCCATAGTTTCCTCCCCAGGAGCAGGCGTCTTTTAATTTCTTGGCTGCAGTCCCCATCTGCAGTCATCTTGGAGCCCAGGAAAATAAAATCTGTCACTACCTCCATTTCTTCCCCATCTATTTGCCAGGAAGTGAGAGGACCGGATGCCATGAGCTTAGTTTTCTTAATGTTGAGCTTCAAGCCAACTTTTGCACTCTCCGCCTTCACCCGCATCAAGAGGCTCTTTAGTTCCTCTTCACTTTCTGCCATTAGAGTGGTATCAGCTGCATATTTGAGGTTGTTGATATTTCTACCAGCAATCTTAATTCCAACTTGTGATTCATCTAGCCCTGCCTTTCTCATGATGTGCTCTGCATATAAGTTAAATAGGCAGGGCGACAGTATACAGCCTTGCCAAACTCCTTTCTCAATTTTGAACCAATCAGTAGTTCCGTGTCCAGTTCTCACTGTTGTTTCTTGATCTGCATAAAGGTTTCTCAAGAGACAAATAAGATGGTCTGGTACTCCCATGACTTTAAGAACTTGCCGCAATTTGTTGTGATCCACACAAACAAAGGCTTTAGCAGTCAGTGAAGCGGAAGTAGATGTTTTTCTGGAACTCCCTAGCTTTCTCCATGATCCAGCGTATGTTGGCAATTTGATCTCTAATTCCTCTCCCTCTTCAAAATCCTGCCTGTACTTCTGGTAGTTCTCGGTCCACATACTGCTGGAGCCTAGCTTGTAGGATTTTGAGCATAACTTTGCTAGCATGTGAAATGAGTGCAATGGTGCGGTAGTTTGAACATTCTTTGGCATTGCCCTTCTTTGGGATGGGAATGTAAACTGACCTTTTCCAATCCTGTGGCCACTGTTGAGTTTTCCAAGTTTGCTGGCATATTGAGTGTAGCACTTTTACTGCATCGTCTTTGAGGATTTTGAATAGCTCAGCTGGAATACTGTCACCTCCACTAGCTTTGTTGTTGCTCAGACTTCCTAAGGCCCATTTGACTTGACATTCCAGGATGTCTGGCTCAAGGTCAGTGACCACCCTATTGTGCTTATCAGGGACATTAAGCTCTTTCTTGTATAGTTTCTCTGTATAATCTTGCCACCTCTTCTTAATCTTTTCTGCCTCTGTTAGGTCCCTGCCGTTTTTCTTATCTCTTCTAGCTATTCTCTGGAATTCTGCATTCAACTGGGTGTATCTTTCTCTTTCTCCCTTGCCTTTCATTTCCCTTCTTTCCTCAGCTATTTGTAAAGCTTCCTCAGACAGCCATTTTGCTCTCTTGCATTTCTTTTTCTTTGGGATGGTTTTAGTTGCTACCTCTTGTACAATGCTGCGACCCTCCGTCCATAGTTCTTCAGGCACTTTGTCCATCAGATTTAATTCCTTAAATCTATTTGTCACCTCTACTCTGTATTCATCAGGGATATGATTTAGGTCATACCTGAGTGGCCTAGTGCTTTTCCCTACTTTCTTCAATTGAAGCCTAAATTTTGCTACGAGAAGCTCATGATCTGAGCCACAATCAGCTCCTGATCTAGTTTTTACTGACTGTATAGAGCTTCTCCATCTTTGGCTGCAGAGCACATAGTCAGTCTGTTTTCTTTGTTGACCGTCTGGTGATGTCCATGTGTAGAGTTGTCTCTTGGGTTGTTGGAAAAGAGTGTTTGCTATGACCATCGTATTCTCTTGACAAAATTCTACCAGCCTGTGCCCTGCTTCATTTTGTATTCCAATGCCAAACTTGCCTGTTATTCCGGTCATCTTTTGGCTTCCTACTTTAGCATTCCAACCCCCCATGATGATAAGGACTTCATTTTTTGGTGTTAATTATAGAAGGTGTTGTAGGCCTTCATAGAACCGGTCAACTTCAGCCTCTTCAGCACCAGTGGTTGGGGTATAGACTTGGACTACTGTGATGTTGAATGGTTTGCCTTGGATTCGAACTGAGTTCATTCTGTCATTTTGGAGATTGTATCCCAGTACTGCTTTTCCTACTCTTTTATTGACTATGAAGGCTACTCCATTTCTTCTGAGGGATTCTTGATCACAGTAGTATACCTGATGGTCATCTGAATTGAATTTACCCATTCCTGTCCATTTTAGTTCACTGATTCCTAAGATGTCGATGTTCAGTCTTGTCTTCTCTTGTTTGACCACATCCAGCTTGCCTTAATTCATGGATCTTACATTCCAGGTTCCTATGGAGTATAGATCTTTACAGCATCGGACTCTCTTTTCACCACCAGATACATCTGCAACTGTGTGTCCTTTCAGCTTTGACCCAGTCACTTCATTCTTTCTGGTGCTACTAGTACTAGCCCTCCGCTTTTCCCCAGTAGCATATTGGACACCTTCTGACCTGATGGGCTCATCTTCCGGCATCATATCTTTTTGCCTTTTGGTACTATCCATGGGGTTTTCATGGCAAAGATACTGGAGTGGGTCACCATTTCCTTCTCCAGTGGATCCTGTTTGTCAGAGCTCTCTGCTATGACCTGTCTGTCTTGGGTGGCCCTGCACAGCATAGCTCATAGCTTCATTGAACTATGCAAGCCCCTTCGCCACAACAAGGCAGTGATCCATGAAGGAGTAACCCTAAGTAATCAAGTGTGAATTATTTTGCATATTTCCAAAACCTGCACATAAGGTTTTTTAAAGATAAATTACCATTCAGGAGACTGTCTTTAAAATGTTTTTTTATTAAATTAACAGAGAAGAATAGCCTCAAAAATAAACAAGCATACCTTTAAATTTCATCCTAGCAATTAAAAGTGCTCCCAATGCTTCATTTGATTAGCCTGTGATAGGGCTGCTATTCTGTTGAAAGTTACTTTGCACTTGAACATTGTCCATTTGGTTGTTAATTCTGAATACATGGAATAAATCTGCAAAGCCAACAGGCCTAATAGGTTTATTTCTGCTTGTTGGGACTGTAGAATAGGTTTAGAAGACATAATTGATTAGAGATTTTACCTTCCTGAGAATTTTTGTTCTCATTGTTGGTTAAACACCAGCCGCTTTCACTCATGACTGCAAAGATGTGTTGCCTACGGCTGAGTTCACATGTCACATTAAACCATCCTACAAATAAGTTATGGCATACTTTTTTGTAGAATAGTCCATGGTGCACCTGGCAGACAGATATGCTCATTGTTGCTTGTTCTTCTCTTTCCACTTTGATTTTTCCAGCCATTATCAAAGTGTCCATCACAGCAGAACCTGTCTTGTCACCCAGCCAACTGTTTCCCCTTTTTGTTTGCCACTGTCTTTTAAAATAAACAATTTCAGAGCTTCAAAAATGCATGTTTTAAAATGTCCCCTCAGATTAATGGATTCGGCAGTAAATATTTAAAAAAGCAGTGAAATGAATTAGGCAACAGAATGATAAGACTGTGTATAAGGTAATGTGCTCCCAGTTGCCAAGGTCCAAATGCCTAGCTGTCAACTACAAAGTATTGGCAAAGGGGGGAAAGTGACAAAAGCATATGTGCCTAAAAGGGAGTGGGGGCAATATTATCCACATAGCAATGTAATCCTCTCAAATTTAAATATTGAACCAATATTTCTTATTACTCTGCACCTTTTCAATGCTTCCTTCAGCTTCCAGTCCATCCAGGAAGGTGCCATAAGTCCCCCTGCCACACACATTCAAACATTTTGGAGTTCCCTGGTGGTTCTTAAAAACAGACAGACAGACAGAAACTTATGGAGGCAAATGAATGGGATAAAGTGAATTGTACCCCATTGGAAAGGAGTGTATGGGTATCCATAGTGCTGGCACCACATTTGCTACAATCTTTTCTGTACCTCTAATTTCTAAGGTTTTTTTTAACTTCTGGGAATATTTGCTCAATTTTTAGACCTGGAAATAGATGCACATATAAGGGCTGGGTACTAAATAGAAGGGAAATTTGCATTAATTTTACTATAATTATGGTTTATTTCTATAGCACTTAATACCTGAGGCTTTCTGAATGGTTTACCACAATGCATAAACCACAATAAAAACACAGTATAACGTCCACATGACAGTAAAAATGCCAGCATTTCACTACAGATGTTTAAAAGTCCAGATTTAAACTACCTAAATAATTAGGACAAGTTAGTTCTACTAAACTAATTTAAAACACCTGACATATTTCTCCCACCTGCTTCCCACACAAAGCTGTTTAGATCTGTAATAGTAAGTACTCCTAAAAGGAGTTTTGATAAGTAGGAAATTAATATCTTTCTGGAGATGCTGGGTACTTTGGAAACCATTTAAAAACTGGCAGTCACTGAAAACTGTCAGTTCACCACTTACAATCAAGAGGATAGTACTGCCAAGTGAGTGATAGTGCCCCACCTCCTTTTGCTGTTTTTTCCTCCTTGCTGGTGCTTTTCAAGTGGCAGCCAGGCAGTTGTTTCCTAGCAATGGTGCACAAATTAGCCTATAAAAAGGTCTCACCTTGTCAGTTTCCATGTATGTTATCTTTGGCACTTGGCTCCCTTTTGGCAGCTGAAACTAACATGTTATTTGACCAGGCAAAACTGGTCTAACATATAGAACGGCCTTAAGTGCACACCTGTGAAAGGCTGACAATAATGCTAACAACAGGCCAACGACACCTGATGTTTGCTGTTGGGTAATTTCTGGGACCATTTTTTTAAAGGGTGGCAAAACAGTGACAAGTCATTCCAAAGTACTGTTTGGAGATCATGGGTGTCATGGGTGACAGCAAGCGTGAGATCATGAAGAGAGGTGGGGGTATTGCTTTTCCTTCTGAGCAGCTCTGTAACCAGTCTCCACAGCCCACAATAAAATTGTCATCCTGGCATTGGATAGCATAGCAACCCATTGTGGGTTGAACAACCACTAGGACAAGTCATGGGTTTTCATGGTGGCTTGTTACCAAAAAAATAAGCCACACAATGGGAAACAGTCTGGGTTTGGATGATGCAGCAACCCATTGTAGCAAGTTGTGCCTGAACAACTTGTGTGTTATGCAAACTAGGTCTTTATCTTCTAGGAAGTAGCTGCCAGAAGATCATGTAGGGATGCATAAGATTTCAAGGGGTGGGGGGTGAAACTTTACTGCCTCACTTTTCCTACTAGAGAAACCAGACAAATATAGAAAAATTATTCTGTAGTTTATACTTTGGAACACAATAAGAGAGTTTATGCAGTTTTGTTCGGGTTGTAAAATACAGGCTGATTGAAGAATTCAGTTTTTCTTGGTGCCACATTTTATTTACGAGAATTCAGATTTCCGAATATTTCATGTGGAACATCCAGAAATTGCATAGTTCTTCTTCACCAATAAAACTGTTGGCAAGCCAATGCTTTTTCTTGTTTTTTCAAAAGATGTGCAGAAAGCATGCTGTGTGTCGTTCCTGATATTTCTGCATTCCGGGAAGGCTGGAGGTGGGTCCGTCAACCAGTCCAAGTTCCAGTCACTTTGGTCCGGAACGATGGAATAATCTACTCCACCAGCCTTACATTTACATACACACCAGAGCCAGGGCCCCGACCTCATTGCAGCGCAGCTGGAGCAATCCTCAGAGCCAATTCAAGTCTCCTGGCATCCAGTGAAGCAAACACGAACAGCGAGGGAAGTTACACAAATGTCAGCACAAACCCAACCAATGTCACATCATCAACAGCAACAGTAGTTTCCTAACCACTGCTCTTTGTGTGGACCTTCTTAGAAACTGTCTTTCAAGAACTTCAAACAACGAAACTTTTGTGGTTTCATGGGAAAATTCTCTTCACTTCTCTTTGAACCCTTATCACCTACAAGTGCTGATCTCAATAGAAGCCACAATAAAAAAATTGAAAGGGGTGGGGGAGAATAACCCCTTTATTCAAAATCTATTTTTAGTTGTCTCTTTAAAAATGGGCACGAAGCTAAAAAAAATAAAAGTGGCTGGGATACAAGTTGAACTAAAACATGGACATAACATAGTTTTTATGGACCAAGGAACGCTTTAGTATAAAAGGTACATTTTCACCATGCCTTTTTGTATCACAACATATAGTACGCTTTTGTTACCAAATAGTTTATATATTTTTTTTTCCTCTGAGCATTTGCTCTGAAGTATATTCAGGTTCCAAGCCTGACCATGCTTGTATAATCTAATTACCATACTCTTCCAGTTTTTTAAATATATATATATTTTTGGTCTGTGGCTGGAACTGTTGCATTTTTTTAAACTGAAGTCTTGTGACTTTTTATGAACTGAATTTTTTGTTTTTATTTTCAGCAAGTAGAACCTTGTAAAGGCCAGCATATTTTTTTTAAGATTATATGAAGTTTGTGCAAAAGCTTTAAAAATGCCTCTGCCTTGCCTGCAATACATGCAATGTATGTTAACTTTAGAGCTCCTTTTTGGTCATGGTGGATAGCTCTTCCTATGTGTTTCTTTTTTATGTATTTATAGTGTTGCTTCATGAGGTTTTTAACATTACAAATGTGGCCTCTTTTGCAGTTACCCTAACTGCTCATGCTATTTGGCATATGTTGGTGTTTAAAGGGTTCTTCCCTTCCTTTCACAGTCAATACATGCATCAGAAAATATTTTCAGGACTTATTCAGGTGGCGTTTTATTTTTATTGTTTGCTACTCCTGTACATAATTTGCTATTAAGTGTAAGTTAAATGTGTGTGTGATTTTTTTTTCAAGTGGACTGTTCCCAATACCTTCATTTGGCAGCATGTTTTCTGTCTTGTTGGCATATGATGACATTTTTCTTGAAGCATTGGCCACAAACAGGATTGATAGGTGCATCTCTTCATTTTGAATTGGGAGCCATCACAAATTACCATGGTTGTCTGTAAGCATTAGGCCAACCTTATGAACTAGAAGTTTGTATGATATCTTTTGCATTGAGGATGAAGTGGATTGTACAGTTAAATGATAGTACTTAGTAATGGCTGATTGCAAAAGCACTGATGTGGACTCCTCCTCCCTCTTTTACTTCCTTGCCAACAACCTAGTGCAATGTTTAAATCCTTTCCCACTCACACATTAGCTGAGGGCCAATTTACACCACTACTTTCTTCTATTCAAAGTACTTCTTAAAGCTCTTTGTGGCTAGTTCCATAGAAGCCTTTGTGAACGGTCCAGTACATGACCATGATATTTTAAAGCCTGTACATGATGCATTGTTTACTCCATCTCTTGGAGATGCATGTGGTTGCCACTCCAGCTGCTGCCTTTTGTGGCATATGGGATACCATAGCTGAAGGTCCCTTTTACCTTCAGCAGCAGCCTTCAGGGGACTTAAATTAAAACAGAAAGAAAAGAAGGAAGAGCGCAGCTTCATGCATGGAAGATAGTGTGGTGTCTTTTCAGCCCTGGCCAGTAGATTTCCCTTTCATTATATGCCCGGGAATACCAGTGACTGAAGGTTTTGGTGATTAACTGGAGCAGAAGCCAGTTCATCATCAACATGCATTGAACCATGGCTTTCTGTATGGATTTTACCAGGGGTTGATGACCAAACCCCACCAGTGGGAGAGAAAAAGTGGCTGATTTTGGCCTTGTGTTGCACTAGATGAATATCAGTGGTACTTTTATTTAGAATTTGATATGTCGTATTCCCTCTTTTTTGGCAATTGAGTGGAAACTATATCTGATTGTTTTGCTAGCACAGAACTACGATCAATTTAGAATAAAGTTCCAGCATGTAATCTTCCTCCTTCCTTATAGGGGAAACACTGAGTTTTATCTAAACCTTCATTTGTTCCAACTGCCCCCCCAACCCCCCCCCAACAGTGCAGTGGCTAATACAAAACCCATGGGTTTTTATAGGGAAACATTTGATTACACAAGAAGCCTTACTGGGTTCCACTGGCTTACACATAATCTTCAGTCTTAATCCTCAGCTATATTGTTGAGTGCTGGGTTTAGTAGATCTTTTCCTCATTTGAAGGCTGCATCTTGAAAGAAAGACTGTGGCAGTTAAAATATTTGGTTAAATTAATGCCTCTCTTCAGATATATTTTTATTTCTATCATGGGCCTTCCTCTGTGCTATTTTTCCATACCATTTGACCTTTCCCCAACATCTTTGTTGCAAACCACTGGTTCTTAATTCTAGTTGATTACTGCCTCACCTCATCTCTTTTTTCAGTGACCAAGGGCAGGATTCATTGTGGCCTTATCTCTGGTTTAAGCTGTTTACTGACATTTACTTGCAAACCTGTATACTTGTCTGTGTAACTTTCTTCCTATTGTAATGTGATGGAGATTTCTTCACAGTGTATGTTAAAAGTATGTTGAGTATTATGAAGTATCAGCTTGTGGATCCAGGCATTTTGCTGACTACCCTTGAGATCAACAAGTGATAATATTCTGGGTTTTCACTAACATCAAAGAATTAATGATTGCATACACAGTTGATTTAGAACTTTTACAAGCTTTCAAATTCCATGGTTTAGTAAACTTTTCAGATTCCTTCCAATGTATTTCAGTACCCCTATGTTGACATTTTAGCATATAGCTGCATCTGATTCTATTCAGTATCTGGCATACATTGCCCTATGATGTTTAGGCAATGTTTGTTTTAGGGATTCTAGCTGAGAACTTGCTTTCTTTTTTGCCTTTTTCACCACTACAGGTTCATGAGTATGACGGAGGAGGGGGATAAACTCCATATTCAGCAGTAGTTTGTAAAGTTAGAATGCTTAGCTTTTGTAGCCTTTTTTCTCTTAATGGGGAGGGGGAAACAGTTGTTTCTCAGTTGCCTCTCATGGTTCTGAGAAGGACTCAGTTGGAATCATTTCTCCTTTCTGAATTGTTTCCCCTATGAGCTGCATTGTTTCATTAACTGATTTATCAATTCAACTCCCATAACCTAAGTCCAATTAAGCTAATCTGCTTGTTAATGTTCAGTTTTCCCTGCAGTTGTTTGTACAGTAGTTCTGAAGCAAATGAACCTGCCTGTTCTCAAACTGCTTACTACTCAAATGCACCTATTGGCTTATATTGGACTGCTTCAAAATAGACAGAGAATTGCAGCTTCACAGTCATAGCCAGCGTATACTGGCTTGTTTACCCTTGGAACTTTTTTTAGGCCGTGTTAGACATTAGTCTGAATGAAGTTTTTCCCAAAGCACCAGGATGATGGTGGGAGGGGCTACATGTCTGAATATGAAAAACTTTCAAGCCCATAGAAAACTAGTATCTCTGGAAAAGATAATCATTGTAGGCCTCTTCTGGCCATGCTAGATGTCTGTGTGCAAGAAGGATTTTTTCCCTTATCAGGGGGCACTCGGACATGCCAATCCTCCCATCTGTGTACAGTCTATGAAAAACGTCTGCTGATTGTATAACCTGGTCCTTACTTTTCATGAGGGAGGGAGATACTTGACATGTTGAGTTGTTTCAAACTGCTTTGTAAATTGCTCTCTTGATGGTTTGAGAGAGCAACTAGAATGTTCTGATTGGGAACAGTACTTAAACTCAATACTGCCATTTAATGTTATACCATTGTATCTTAGGTCACTGTTAAACTTTCCAATACATATATTCTACAGGTCAGAGTCTCAAGGGATCATACAGATTGTCTGAAAATCTGTCTCAATAAGTACATTGTTGTTAATGCACCTTTGACACCTGTGCAACCTGTTTCAGACCAAATAGCTTCATAGTGGCTTCTATTCTGAAACAAAATGCTTACTTCAATTATTAATCATGCCATTTACTATTTTTTCTTTCAAAAATCTGTGTATATGAGTATAGAATGTCTGTATTTTCCTGTGCCAGATGTGTTACCTTGTTTTCAGACACTGTAAATGTGGGATTGAGTGGCAGGTTTGTGTTAGGAAAAAAAAATTAGGCTTTCTTGCTAACCCTTTTAGGACTGAAGTGTTTCTCTCTTCATTGAAATTGCAATACTAAGTAGCTGCTCCAACATAGTGAATGTGTTTTCTTCACCTCAATTTCCATTCTTGTACAACTAGATTATATTCCTCTACTCTGTCTCTGGAGGTAAAACCTCACCACAAGCAGCCCAATTCTGTGTATGTTTACTTGGAAGCAGGTCTCACAGCAGTCAGTGTGGTTTTCTCACAAAGACCTTGGCTACCTCATGTACTCTTCAGGAGGGGAAAAAGCAGTTCCTGTCCCAGCCCCCATGTTCACACACACCCTAGTAAGTTGTTCTGGTCTTTACAGATTGTAGTTATCTTTACAAAGAAACCATTGCTCTGGCAGCATTTTTATAACTGGCTGTTGCCAGAGTAAATGATAAACAGTATCATTAAATAATAAGTAAATGATAAACAGCTAAGGACCACATGGATTGATGTGGGTGTAGGGCATAAGGAAAGCTTCCCTCATGTAGACAGCAGGCATGGTTCAGGAGTGGCCTAAATTTGAACAATTTGGGCTGCAGACACACTGCATTAAGTCCCATTGAATGCAGAAGCATTAATCCTGAATAAACTTGCATATGATTGGGGCTGATTAGGTTGGGAGGTGCGATTTATTGGTTGCAGGCCTCTAGTTATAGTGTGTTTCTCGAATCTGTGTTGTGTGTCTCTCTGTGTGTACATGCTTATTCAGTCCCTAAAGGGTTTGTTTTACAAATTGCGCACCTGTAAAGTTTCGTAGCAATAAAATAGAAGACTGGGCAAGTCTTCACCATAATTTTGTAGGAAAAGAAATCTGCTCAGTTTCATATTTCATCAAAAAGTCTGCAATATGAGCAGTTTGCAGGAATAAATAAAAGTGACATGTAAACTACATTAAGTGTGTTGTCACATGTACAGTGTGTAATTAGCACATTCAATATTTGATTTAAAACCCTTTCTCTGAATTTGTGAAGATTAAATGAAATGTTCTGTTACTCTTCATGTGACTAATTCATAAAAACACGTCTGATACTGAGATAATCACAAACTTGTTGAAATTTTGATGCATCTGCATATAAGGAGTCAGTTGAATTTTTCTGGGAGGGCACAATGAGGTCATCTGGACAAACAGAAGAGCAGCAAAAAACAAAAACAAAACAACCGTGCAAGAATTCAACAGTAGTTATGAGAACCTGCACTGTGGACTCCATGCAGACTGGATATGGAATTTCTTTCAATACTTGTAAACATTGCAGAACTTAGACAAAACTGTTTTATTCCAATATTGTAAATATGAACTAGTTCACTTTTTGATATTATTTATTAAATAAGGAAAAATGCACTGTTTAATTTTGTTTACATTTAAAATCAGAATTAGATAGTTGAATCAGCATAAATATGGGTTCAATTCTGGTTTGAATTTAGCATTTCATAACTCCATGTACTAACTTTAAAAAATGGCTTGGTAACCAGTTCAGGCATTTGATTTTACAGAAGTAAATGTGATGACTGCTTACTCTTGTAATGTAACTCTTACAGAATGAATATTATGATTATTTAACTTGAGGAGGAAAAACCTGAGATGACAAAACAGGGATTGAAATGGTGACATCTGTGGATGCACTAGGGCCTTTTAAAACCTCATGCTGTTCCCTTTACTTTGGATGGCTGTCCGTATCAGTCATTGATATAGAATAAGAGTCTACAGTTGAAGAGTAGAAATTGTAGGATCCCAAACTTTTTTTCTAAATTGCTAGGACATATGTACATAAATATGAATGCTGGCTTTCTGGAGTGCATGCATCAATTTGGCATTTTACAGAACTCATGTGTCCGGGCACTAAAATAATTAACTTTGGCCTCGCAAAAAGTTTATCTGCATATTTGCACAAGGTGAGTGCATAATGCAGGTTCAGGTTTTCCTCGCCCCATTTTCCTTTAAAGAACAATATTTTCATCTCTATTGAAATGATCATTGATTCATTTCAAGATTTTCTTAATGTATTTGTAAGCCTTAGGATCAAACCTTTTGAATGAGTCAGACATTTTTCTGTTTTGAAAATCAGTTTGCCAAATTGGAAGATAAAGCTAGAAATCCAAACTTAACCCAAGCTTTAGCCACAGCCAGTGTGGTACATGTTAGACCGGGGACTGGGGAGATCCAGGTTCTAATCCTTGTCTCAGTCGTGAAGCTCACCAGGTGACTAGGCCCATCCTAGTCTCAGCCTCATCTACCTCACGGGATCATTGTGAGGATAAAATGGAGTGAATGAGGACTATGTCCGCTGCCTTGGGTTTCTTTCAAGAAGAGAAAACAGATATAAAAGTAACGATGTGTGGGGACAGGTTCCTTAGAGAACTAGTTTCTACAGAGTGCTTGTAACGTACTTCACACAAAATTATCATTTTGCAAAGGTGACTAGATTTGGGATGTTTGGCTTGAGTTCAGTTCTGGTTCTTTCAACTTGGTTTTGGTTTTTTGGTTGTCTCCTTCATGAACTTAGTTTATTCTAAAGTAAATTAGAATAAAGTAAAAGTATTCTACTTTAGATTCACATACAATATAGCTGTATCTATCTGAAAAAATAAGAAACAATTTATTGGAGAATGTGGGCTGATGTGCTGATCTTGGAGCATCTGATTTCCTAAGGCAGATGAATTGATGTTATCTTGAGTTTTAGGCCTTTGATCTAGCTCAATTTTGTCTCCTCTGGATGATCACAGATCTCTCATGTCTTTGGTGGGGAAGGGCCTTTCCTGTTCCTGTATGAAATCTGATAGCCCTACCTTAAGTGGGGGAATTTAGGTTGGGACCGTACCCATGCCAAGTGCGTGCCGTACCTCGCAGCTGCTCCCCCAGTAGACTTCATCTAGATTCTGGAAGTGGCAGTACATGAAGTCACCTACCAGACATAGTTCATCTCATTTTGTCTGTGCAAGTTCTATTTTGTTTCTTTAATCTGTGTACTTCCATACTTGGTGTTTAAACTGAAATGTTCACACTTAGGGTCCTTCCAGGAAAGAGGGCTTGTAGTACTAACAAATAGCCCATGCACAGCTATTCCAGATTTTCTGTTCTTTCTTAACATATTTTTCTAGGTAAAGGAAAAAAGATGAACTCTCATAAATCTTTTTCTTAGAAAAGTGGCACAATCACCACAGGTACTGTCCTCAGTGCCAGTCTGGTTTTTTTAATGTGAGTTTGTGCAATGTCTTTTCAAATGCATGAAACTATCATCATGCCTTTTCACATTTTTGCTGGTATTTCTACAGGGTTTTGAAATCGATTTTTGCAGTTTGTGTTACACCTCTTTTCATTTTTTAAAAAGCTTGAAATATAGCACTTATTTATTATATTTCTGTTCTGTTCAATAGCTGAAGGTCCCTGGATGGTTCACAACAAATAAAAACAAATGTTTTATGTTTATAACAACATGATAAAATTTAGTACAGAAGTTTACAGTTTTAAAACTAGTTTAACAATATAGGCTAAAATAAAAAACAGAAGTAAAACCTAAAAGGCATTCAAAGCTTTGAATACTGTAACAACTTTAAAACAACAGAAACTGAAAGACTAAAGATCTTCACCTGGTGCCAAAAAGGGCAAACCTCTCTGGGAAGCTCATTCCACAACTAAGGGGGTATTGCAAAAAAGCCCACCTTCTTAATTGCTACTCAGTTCCTTTAGCTGGGTCTCCTGGAGAAAAAAGGAGGAGAATCTCAGGGTCTGGGCAAGTACATATGGGAGGAGACAATCCTTCAGGTAAATGCTCCAAGCCTTCCAATATTGATACTACTTAAAGAAAAAATGGGTTTGTGTGTGTGCAAACCAAATTACCCATTTTGTTTTTCCCTGTCCCCAACTATGTTGCACCCATTGTTGTGAATAGAGTGGATGTACATACAAAATAATTTCATTGCAAGTCATACCAGAAGGAAAATGTGTGGTATTGTTAAAAGCCTACTGTCTGCAAACAACTGCTGTTAGGCAGAGCTTGAAAAGATCCTCCCCACTCTGCAACTTTCTCAACCTAAGTTAGAAGGTGTCCCACCTTTGGATTGCTATCATCACTGGCCAGAGGGAGAAGTGGTCTCTAGTAAGCACATTCCCCTTCCATGGGAAAGGATAGGAATCCATCCCTCAGAGTACCATCCTATGCATCTTTAAATGAAAATAATTCTCTACGCCTCCCAACCACCTGTGGCTGGCTGAGGGGAGCTGGAGGATTTATTTCTGTCTCAACATGCATGGAATTACACACTGGCTACATTCACACAACACAACAAACAACCCTGCATGATTGCCATGGCCTATAGTTTTTGCTTTGTTTTACTACAATCTACCTGAAAGACCATCGAGTGGTTGCTACTTTATGGTGTTTCCATCCTCCCAGCAATTGTTGGCATCTACCCCACCAGTCACTGTGCCGGAAATTCAGTTCCAAGGTGCATCACTCCCTGCCTATGTTGCCTGCATCTTCCTTACTGGTCCACACATGGAGGCTAGATGGCTGGAGTAACTCCTGCAGTTGCCACTCATTCCAGAGGACTCCATGGTAGTTGTATACCATGACCATGGAAACCATCATCCTGGGTTCACACAATGTGACAAGCCATGGTAGTACAGAAACCATAGAACAAACTGCTGTTTCTTAGCATGGATTCTGAAGACCAAACTCACCATAGTGAAATACCATGACTGGGTTCAGATAACATGACAGACCAACAATGGAAAAAAAAGGGGGGTTGTCAGTCACTATCTTAGTAATTCCCTACTACTTGTTTGCTCCTTCCAGAAGGCCTGGGGAATTGCAGCAGGTGTGAGCTGCACAATCTGTACAAGAAAACGTGCAAATTACCCTTTTCAGGCAGCATTTATGGGATTGTCCTTGAGCACCAGATCAACATGGCAATTCTTAAGCAGCACTGCCATCCATCCAGAATAGAACAACTTTCTGCCAGGGAACCAATACTGGACTATAGAGCATATTCATTCTGGATTCTGTAGTGAGCTTTCCTATGAGCCACCAGATTCTTTCAGGCTCTGCCTTAGTTTTCCTCCCTGCCCCCGCCCCCAAAAGTTTGGAAGCCTTGTTTCCATTTAGTGATGTACCCAAGTAGCCAGACCTTTGCTTCTGAATTGGACTGCATCCTATCTCTCCAAATTCATGAGGCTCATGTTAACATATAATGAGTTAGCATTGATCCTAGACTGCTTAATGTTGGCTATTTAATGCCAATTCAAACAGGAAAATCATCAATGGGATGTTTCTCTGCTGTGTGTGCCAGATTTGGCAGCAGATTTCTTGGATGACAGCGATGAGGAGTTGAATGAATGAAAGAGTTCACTTTCCTTACTCATGAAAGGGAACAATTATGCAGTTCTATAGGACACCTTGTTCTCAGATAGGAAATCTTTAACTGCACTGTAGCACTTCAGGCTGCAAATGCAGGGGTGACAAGATCATCACTGTAATTTGTGCATACAACTTGTATATACAGTAAATAATTATTTTAAAATCCCTGCATGTAGAAATTTCCATGGTAGGTAGGGAGCAAATTGTTTCCCGAACAACTTTTTAATGCACAGAGAATTACTTTGGTATCAAAGAATATTTGCTTAGGCAACAAAGCATGTTCTCTGAGGTGAAATACGCCAGAGAAAGAGGTTTTTCACTTCAGTGAGAAATAGGCCAGCAGCCATGTATGTAGAAAGGTTCTATTGACCTTATTCGGACCATGTCCATTCACAGCAGAGATGCTTTGCTGCTTGCTTCAGTGGTAGTAGATGCTCATATTGCCAAATGAGAACTTATCAAAATATATCTGCAACCTTTTGGTGAGCTAGTTGGCCATCTGTAATGATGTCTCGTAGTCCCCGGGCGCTTCCAGATGGCTCCTTGCATTACCAAACAAAATTGGGCAGATGCTCCATTTCCCCTTCCCTAATTGGTTCCTGTGTTGTGAGAAATTGGTGGAGGGACTGAGCATCTACACTATACCAAGTATTTTCATACTAGTGTCCACTATTTTGTGCTCAACTTCCAGGTTCCTCTTTCAGAGAGCAGAATGGGTCTCTAAATCACATTGTGTGTCAACCAATTCTTCCGGAAGAATTGGATGGGCTCAGAGAAGAGGGAAATGGGCCTAGCCCAGTCCTTCCAGTTCTCACTACATGGACAGTTCTACAGTGATGGAGCTTCCAATAAAAGTGGTTAAAGAAACAAACTGAATTTCTTTACATACTCAAGCGGATGGTAGAAAATGGCGGAGGCTGTGGTCTGCAGTGAAATGACCTTCAGAAATAGAGCGAAGCTTAAAGAAACCTTTCCTGACATTCCA